CAGATTGCTATTAACAATTTTTACACAATTTACGATTGCAATCAATTTCTTTCAAAACTATAATCTAAATGATTGCAAGTTGTATTTTTTACGATCAAAACAGATTCCAATATTAGGTATATTATGCACATGCAATCCAATTTGATTTGAGTTATTCAGTTTTAGATACATTTATATTTCTGTGTTCGTATGGAATAGTGGTTTATGTCGGGAAGCTGGCTTTAGTATAATCCGGCATTCCCTTTATTATTTACAACACAAGGAATTTTTTTGATGACCCTTAACAAGAATATGGACGTGCTATTATCGGAACTATTTCTTGCACGTTTATTTGCCAAAATTTCTTCAACGGCTCGGCGCCAGTGAGGGTATGCTGCGAATGCCGCATTATACTAAAACCAGCCTTTTGACATAAGCTACTATTCCATACGAGTGGGGCACGTGCGAAATGCGGATTTTCCAAGTTGCAGTACTGCAGTAACTCGACATCTTCCTCACCAACAGCTCTGTCCTCTATGAGCTTCTTAATGTAACTGGAAATAAAAGAAGGAAATTTAAGAAAAATTACTATCACAGCGTTTCGCTTGTAGCGTTTCACTCTTATAGTATATTGGCTATCAAGCACCAGAAAATTTCATCACGCATTCCATTTGCCACCGATTGTCATGGATCAATTAAAATACTGTCATCACAGCTTTTTGGTACTCCAACAACTGGTGTGTCTATGGCTTAGTTATGTGGACCTGTTGCATCACTAAAATCAATTTGGACTCTGGCTTGTTTGTTTCGAGAGCTATTGGCATCAAATATATGCAAATTAGATTTCCAAACGAGCAACTGTTGAATACAGGAAAAAAATTTATATTATATGGTTCCGCTAAAGTGCACTACTACCGTGTATAAATTGGTCGACCTTCTAATAAATTAAGCAATCTTATTGTATCGTGATCGCCGCCAGTCACCAAGAAATTTCCACTTGGGTGAAATGCAACATCATTCTCCGGCGACGAATGCACTGTATTAGCTCGCCTTCAGCTATGTCAAATATCTTAAAGCGGTTACAACTTAATGCTAAAGCCACCAGATTACCGTCTGGATGCCATGCCAGCTGTCGTCCCATACCTCTTCCCACGGTGAACGTTTGCACACATTCGCCTGAAAATGTATCGCAAATTCTTAACTTATCATCGCCGCACGATGAAATTAACTTACCATTAGGGCTGAATTTTGCTGCGCGCACCCATTTGTGTGTCCAGTGAAAGATGTGTATTTTAAATCAGTATTTTGATGGCTGTTCGCCATTTTGTAAGTCTGCAAACGAATAAGCTCACGAAGATGCAAACAAATTCAAGCACATTGTCATAAAAGAGCAGTTTAGACCAAAATAAGCAACTCTAAAAAACAGATGATCGCATCTGTGGCCCAGGATAACGTCTATTGCTAAGATATCTCACTTGTATTTGTACACAATGGACTTCACTGCGCAACTATTCGAATAATACACACATAAAATGTTTCGGGAGGGATGGGAAATACATTTTTTTTGCAGAAAAAAAAAATGAATGGGTGTGCGCAATGCGTGATCTGCTATCGCGTTGTGAGTCGCAATGTTATGTCTTGTTTAAAAAGACATTACAAACTGTGTCATATAACGGGTGATTTTTTAAGAGCTTGATACCTTTTTTTTTTAAAAAAAACGCATAAAATTTGCAAAATCTCATCGGTTCTTTATTTGAAACGTTAGATTGGTCCATGACATTTACTTTTTGAAGATAATTTCATTTAAATGTTGACCGCGGCTGCGTCTTAGGTGGTCCATTCGGAAAGTCCAATTTTGGGCAACTTTTTCGAGCATTTCGGCCGGAATAGCCCGAATTTCTTCGGAAATGTTGTCTTCCAAAGCTGGAATAGTTGCTGGCTTATTTCTGTAGACTTTAGACTTGACGTAGCCCCACAAAAAATAGTCTAAAGGCGTCAAATCGCATGATCTTGGTGGCCAACTTACCGGTCCATTTCTTGAGATGAATTGTTCTCCGAAGTTTTCCCTCAAAATGGCCATAGAATCGCGAGCTGTGTGGCATGTAGCACCATCTTGTTGAAACCACATGTCAACCAAGTTCAGTTCTTCCATTTTTGGCAACAAAAAGTTTGTTAGCATCGAACGATAGCGATCGCCATTCACCGTAACGTTGCGTCCAACAGCATCTTTGAAAAAATACGGTCCAATGATTCCACCAGCGTACAAACCACACCAAACAGTGCATTTTTCGGGATGCATGGGCAGTTCTTGAACGGCTTCTGGTTGCTCTTCACTCCAAATGCGGCAATTTTGCTTATTTACGAAGCCATTCAACCAGAAATGAGCCTCATCGCTGAACAAAATTTGTCGATAAAAAAGCGGATTTTCTGCCAACTTTTCACACATTCAACACATTTCGAACCGAACACTGATTTTGGTAATAAAATTCAATGATTTGCAAGCGTTGCTCGTTAGTAAGTCTATTCATGATGAAATGTCAAAGTATACTGAGCATCTTTCTCTTTGACACCATGTCTGAAATCCCACGTGATCTGTCAAATACTAATGCATGAAAATCCTAACCTCAAAAAAAATCACCCGTTACTACGTTTATACGAATAATCGACTTAATTGAAAGCGCATTGGCACCGTACACATTTCGCTCTAGTGTTTATACTTACGGCTTTATATCGGCATCAAAGTAACCGTCTTCAAAAGCAAACAAAATCAGCTGTTTTCATTTGACATTTTATAGGTTAACATAATGGAAAGTGATAAAGATCTAGTTTTGTTCGGCATTATAAAATCGTGACAAAGGAAAAGAACGATTATTATTAATCAGCTTTTTAATACTGATGCGATTGTTTGGAATTTGAGCGGAACAGCTGATCTCCAATTCGCTTTGAGTGAGAGCGGTGTTTATACACTCTTTCTAACTGTCTGGAGAAATAAATTACCGATTTGAAATGGAGTGTGAGCCAAAACACTTCGCTCTTTCAAAGCGAATTGAAATTCGGTTTATACATATGTTTTGAATCGCGGCGAAATGAATTAAAGCGACTTATGCATCCGTATAAACGTAGTAATAGTCATTTTGAAAAGGCGAAAGAGAGTGATCGAGCACTGAAGCTTTTAGACTAAAAGCAGCATTCTTTATTAAATTTATGGTTGGTGAATATAATATACATCAACACGAAAATTATCAATATCAATTGTCCCTATCAGAAAATGATAGATCATTTCTAAAAAAAGCATTTTATTCTGTCGCTTTGGCTTTTTATTTAGAATTTCCAGAAAAGTTTTAGGTATGCAGTTTTATAGCCCATTTAGTAGCTCAAAGTGCAGATTTCAAGCGCTAAGAAATCTCGTTGATTTTTAATGATTGGCAATTTCTTTTATATCGAAGAAAATGCCTAGCACCGCAAAAAAAAGATAAACATTAAATAAACAAAAATATAAATAGCCAAAACTGGTCAAAATGTCACTTCTTAAAATGGTATTTTATCTTATTTTATTTCATTTCATTACGAATATACCATGATAAAAGCATAGTAAGGTAAAACCGTTCTCTCAATGCATCGGCCATGATTTTCTTTTTAAGTTTGCCAACATTTTAAAACCGTATAAAATTGAGAGTAAAAAAATGAATTGTTCAAAGTTGTTGTTGTTTGAGATTGAAAATGAGATTGTGTGTGTGAGTTTATGTGTAAAATTTTAAAACTAAATTGCTTGCGAACGTCAAGAATTTGAAAAATTCCTCTCAGCGGTTCTACCTTCCTATTTTTTATCATGGAATGTGCTATAAAAAGGCAAATTTTGTTTAGAAGAAAACATGAAATTTTATATTTTTCCCCCAAATGGGGATTAATTTCTTTCCGTTTTTCATCTTATTCTACTGAGCTAAGGCAGTGTCAAATCGAACTGTCACAACTGATACCACCTTGTATTATTGCATCATGTATAAAATGTGACTATAAGACAGCCGAATGTCAGAAAATAAAGCGAGAATAATTTAAACAGCATGGCCCGTAGCCATAGAGAAGTTAGAAAAAGGTTTTAGCGATTAAAATTGCGTTTTATTGTAATCACCATTTTAACTCTTTCATAGTCAACTTAAAATGCAGTTTATGGCAAAAACAGAATTTTAACTTTAAAATTAGGAGAACGCGGTTTTAAAATGGTAAAATAAGGTTCTAAGTTTTGTTTTGTGGTTGAAGTAGTAAACGCAATAGCACCCAGGTTCGGTCCCCACTCCGAGCGATTCCAAACTTTTTGTTAATTTTATATTGTTATTTTAACATAAACATAATTTTATTTTATTTTATTTTATTTTATTTTGTTTTATTATCTTTTTTGTTTATGGAATTTCATATAATTATTTCGTTATTAATCAAATTTTTTGGAGTTTAATTTTAATTAAAAAGGCCACAATAACCAAAATTTAAGAAATATTTAAAAGACTAAAAAAAAGATGTAAAAAAAAATGTTCCCTGGCAGTGGGATTCGAACCCAGGCAGGCTTTAAGTTTTAGTCAGTTATAAACATGTTAGAGGCAGGTTTTTGCTAGATTGATACAAAACAGGGCCATTAATATAAAATGAAAAAAGAAACCAATCGGCATTAGGAAAACTTTGTTATTTTAGCAAGTTCACCCTGTGTCAACTGACTTTTATAAATAATTTTGAAAATGGCGCAGCAAACTGTAAGTAAATAACAAATTTTTGTAAAATATAACTTATTAACGTTAATAATTTAATTTTTATGGGAAGTGAAAAGAAGTCGTGAAGTTAATTGGACTGCTGCTGAAAAGACCTGCTTGCGGTCCTCCTCTTTCATTTGAAAAGGATCTTGGCGTTCCTTGTATGTTTTCCTATTTCTGGTTGCGATTATATCATCCAAAATCGCAAAATCTCGAAATATCCTTTGATTGGGAAGCATATTCTTCAAACTAGAACCACTTTTGTATTTGCTCCGAAAATTTTGACAGGAAGACATCTACTTAGAGTACGCTTTTAAGATTTGAAACCTTCGTCAACCTCATTTTAAATTTAAAACGCCGTTTTAAAGTTAAAAGGTCTTTTAAGTTGACTATGACAGTGCTAAAAGAGTGTTTATCTTAATATACAGTTTTAAATGTTAAAACCTGTCTCTAACTTGTCTATAACTACGGGCCAATGAGTTTTAAGTAGCGATCATGACTACGGGCCCATGTGTTACATGTGTTAAAAATGGATATGTACCCTGCAGTGAAAACCCAAACCAGTTAAAAAAAATACTAGTTCATAAACTAGTATGTGCCGACCAGTTCGTCATTTTCGAAGAACTTAAGCGTTCAGCAACATCTGCCTTCGAATTGCCAAAGCCTAAAATAAAACGCAGTTAATTGCTTTTTTACAGACTACTGGTTCCGGTTCTGATCTCGCAGGTTCGAGGCCGCTTGGAGGTGGTTAAGATTTTTTAAAGTTAGATCAATGTAAGTAGGAATAATTATTTCAATTTAAATATAAATAACAAACTTAAAAATCTAGTTGCATTACAAAAAAAATAAACAAATATATGGAAGAAATACTTGTGCCATAAAAAAATAGATTAAAAAAAATATATTTTTTTTTATTAAATCTAAGAATAACAAAAAATAACCCTAAATAAAAAATATAAATAAAAGAAATATTATAAAAAAAAAAACTTTTCCTGCACCAGGGCTGGAACCTGGTACCTCAGGCATACCACGCGAGTGCTTTGCTCTGTCGGCCATTGCGACTGTTGGAGCGCCGCGAGCAAAACGGCATACTAATGCTTTTCATAGGGGATGAATTGGCAGACTATCTCATCAACTGGTATGATGCTACTATTATTTCTACTAGTAGATGCTGATGCACAGCCTGACCATTGACATCTCGTAGGACATCGCAGTGTTAAAAATACCAGTCGCTAACATTGAAAAAGGATAGAACGGGAACTAGTTGGGCTGAAACGTGAACTGGTAGAATTCTAGTTCATAACTAGTAGCT